AAAAGAAAAGAAAATGGTTTTAATGAGGAGGTCTTCTTTTAGAATAAGGATGTCCTGCCCAGATCTTCTTCGTGCCTTCATTTGCCAGGACACCCCTGGGTCAAATGTAAATGGGATTCCAGTGAGGTAAATGGAACCCAGTGTCCCAGAGAATGATTTGCTCTCTTGATGTGTAGTATTCTATTTTCAACAGTGAAATGAGGCGTTTTCACAAGGGCTCTCATTCGAGACTAGCTGCTTTTCAATTCAAATTCAGCCCACGTAATCTTCAAAACCGAAAATCACAAATTAAAAGCCTTTGGCAAAGCTGCCAAACAATTGGCAGACTGTACCACATTACCTTGAAAGTATAATTTGGTGCATTATTGGTAAAAAAGAAAAAAAAATCCAAAGCCTAAAATTTCAGTATTGGTATTATTTAGAGACTGATGCATTAAAAAGTTATCTCATCCCTTAAGCTTCTATTTACCCAGTTTCTCTGGAACTTCACTGACATCCTAAAGAAGCTTGTTGAGGTGGCAACATTCCCATGCTTTATTGCACATGAACTTTAAACGGATGAATTTTCTTTTTACCCCTGAATTTGTCAAATACAATTTGTGAGCTTTTATGCCTCAGAACCACAGTCTCTTCTGTAATATTGGCTGTTTTTACTCTTTGATTTTTGGAGGCCCACCAACCAGATCCCAAATAAATACATGGAGGCTTATTCTTACTTATGAATGCCCCGCCTAGCTTGCCTTATTTCTAGCCAGCTTTTCTTAACTTAAATTATCCCATCTACCTTTTGCCTCTGGGCTTTTACCTTTCTCTATTTTTGTATATCTTTTCTTTCCTTCTTATTCTGTGTCTGGCTGTGTAGCTGGCTCCTGGCATTCTCCTCTCCTCCTTTTCTCACTCCCCTCTCTCTCCTCTCTTTTTCTCCTATTTATTCTCTCTGCCTGCCAGCTCCTTCTATTCCCCTCTTGCCTTGCTATTGGCCATTAAGTTCTTTATTAGGTCATCAGGTATTTTAGATGGGAAAAATAACACAGCTTCACAGAGTTAAACAAATGTAACATAAAAGAATGCAACACATTTTTGCATTATTAAACAAATATTCATATAAACAAATGTTACACATCTCAAAATAGTATTCTACAACATGTAATATTACATTTTTAATTCTTCTTTAATAGCTTTAGGAAAATAATAGTAAAATATTTTGGAGCAATAATAACTATTGATAAGATTTCTGGAAGCAGAGTAAAAGGATTGAGGCTTCTTTGGTGTCTTTTCTAGACTTCTAGATGTTCATTCTTTATTTTTATTTTTTTGTATTGTGTTCAAAGAAATTTCTATTCATTAGCTTATTGTTCAATTTAATACACTAACATTCTCTGCCAAATAGCATCTTAAATCACAGTGGTCTAATAATGTAAATCTTTCAGCTCTTAAATATATCAAACTATGCATTTTTCACGAGCTGTGTGTGGTGGTACATGTTGCTAACCTAAGCACTTGGGTGAGTCAAAACAGGATCAGGAATTCATGACTAGCCTTGGCTACATGAAACCATCTCAGAAATACTCTTATTTATTTACTTTTTACTTTTATTTTCTCGAAGTTTCTCCTCCTTCCACTCTTCCTAGTCTCTTCCTCCACTTCCCCTCTCCCCCAGATCAACTCCTCATCCATTTTCCTTAAAAAACAAACAAACAAACAAACAAACAAAAAACCACACACACACACACACACACACACACACACACACACACACACACACACACAAAGAACAGGCCCCTCCCAGTGATATCCACCGAATATGGTCTAACAAGATACAATAAAACTGGCCATAAACCCTCATATCAAGGCTGGATGAAGCAATCTAGTAGGAGGAAAAGGGCCCCAAGCACAGGCAAGAGAGTCAGACACCGCCCCTTCCCATTGTTGAGAGTCCCACAAGAACACCAAGCTACACAACCACAAGGTATATACAGAGGACCTAGCTCAGACCCATATAGGTTCCATGATTGTTGCTTAAGTTCCCGTGAGCCCTGCTTAGTTGATTCCATGGGCTGTGTTCTCATGGTGTCCTCTCCTCAACCTCTCTGGCTCCTATAATCCTTCCTCCCCCTCTTCTTTGGGGTTCCCCAAACCCTGCCTAATGTTTGGCTCTAGGTCTCTGCATCTGCTCCCATCAGTTGCTGGGTGAAGCCTCTCTGATGACAATTGGGTTAGACACCAATCTATGAGTATAGCAGAGTATCATTAGGAATCATTTCATTGACTTATTTTTTTTTCTAGTCGTGTTTGGTTCTATTCTGGGTCTGTGGGCTGACCTGGCAGGACAGATTGTAGGCTGAAGGTTTTGTGGCTGGGTTGATGTCCAGTCCCACTGCTGGTAGTCTTGCCTGGTCATAGAAAATGGCCAGTTTGGGCTCCATATCTCCAATTACTGGGAGACTTCACTAGGGTTACTTCCATGGATTCCAGGGAGTTTCCACTGCCCTGGGTTTCTATATTGTCCCTCAAATGCCCCCCAGTTCCAATCATTTCTCCCAGTGCTCTTTCCTGCCATCCCTTACACCCCCTGCCTGTTCCATCCCTACCTGTTCCCAGTCCCCCAAAAAATCAATTTCTCCTTCTTAAAAAAAAAAAGACTAGATAAATGCATTTTTACCTTACCAAGCATTAGCTTAAGTAAATTATTTTAATTTGGGTCATTTTTTTTCTACAGGAAAAGAAATGAACACATGTAATTTTTTTTATATAGAATAAACTTTATTTTTTTAATTAAAGACACATGTCAAAAATAAAAGTTTTTTTTTTATATATATACATGTGACATAGTGCAAACAAAAGACTTTAAATACCATGGACAGACAGACACGTTGTTGGAAACGAAAGGAGATGACTGACTGAATGACGGGGGTGGGGGTGTGGTTTAGGATGGTCGGCCTGGAACTGCAGGAGGGGGTCTCCTAGTAAAAACAAAACAAAATAATAAAAAAGGAAAACATGTAGAGGAAGAAGACAATGTTTAAGTTATAAAATAAATCCAAGTAATGGCATGCAAAAATATCCCATAAAAGTCTAATACAAACAAACAAACAAATGAACAAAAAACCCCAAATAAAGCCAAAGACCAGGCATGCATGCAGGAGAAGTGAAAGTACACTACACGGCAAAGTTGGCAGCGGTCAGGACTCTCAGGGTACCGGCAGCACGCTAAGGCATGTGTGCCCGCGGTCAGGACTCTTAGGGTACCGGCAGCACGCTAAGGCATGTGTGCCCGCGGTCAGG